AGACCTGGAACTTTAAGAACAAAAGGTCATAGATTTAAACTAGCTAAACACAGATGCCGAAGAAACATAAGAAAATTCACTTTCGCAAACAGAGTGGTAGACGGTTGGAACAAGTTAGGTGAGAAGGTGGTGGAGGTCAAGACCGTATGTAGTTTCAAAGCGTTATATGACAAAGAGTGCTGGGAAGACGGGACACAACGAGTGTAGCTCTCATCCTGTAACTACACTTAGGTAATTACACTTAGGTAATTACAGCCCCAGAACTGCTATTGGGCTTCCCCCACAGTCCCAGGAACCTGCAACAGAGGCCCCAGGGCAGAGCCATCCTCCACACCCCTCTGCCCCTAAAGAAAAGAAAGAGTCCAGGGAAAAGGCAGCAAAGAAAGGGCTGCTGGTAAGACCCAGAAACCTTGGCAGGATGGAGGAACAGGCTCGAAAACCTCCATCCCCAATCCGAACGGGGCAGCCCCAGAAGCCGCCAGAGTCTTGGCCCAAACTAAACCCCGCCCTGACCCTGAAACCTGCAGACGGTCAGGAGACGGGAAAGTGGAGAACAGCCCCTAAATAAAACAGGGCGGCCCCCGGGGCATCTGGGCGGGAACCAACCTAGCGCGTTCCAGCAACTTAAAGCGAACTTGCAACGCGGATGCCGCCTATACTCAAAACAGTAAGGACTAGATGTCAATGACTCAACAGGCAGCATGACAGAGGTAAAATTGGCGACTGGCACCCTCAGACAAGGGCACAGCAACCAACGAACCCACACAAGATGGGATGGAACCCAGAAGACACATCCAGTAGTCCACCGAGCCCCGACAGGGTTTTCCAGGGCCCGTAGGCTGACTGCTACGGGAAGCCCGGGCAAGGTGTTGCTAACCAGTTAACACCCAAAACTAACAAGGGGTAGATGCCAACAATGAAAACCCATGCAATGTGTACAATCACAGGGGGCCTAGCAGAGGGCCACCAAACACTACCAGTGGAACTATAGCCACACTAGGCAAACCCCCACCAGGCAATGAAAATAAAAATAAAAGAAAAACCCCGCAAAAGTACACCATCCCCAGAGGCAACAGGAACTGGTTGCCGTGCAGGTAGCAGGTCGCTCAACACCTTGACGTCCTAACCAGCACAATACCAGTCCCTACCCAAGGCCAAATAAGGGCCCCAAGCCCCAGCTGGCCCCAAGGGCGAGGCAAATGCCGAGCAGCAAGAACTTCTACGGAAATGGTTCCCGAATGCCCCAGGGAAGATAACCCTGTCACGCAGGGCAGTACTCACAGGAAGCTTAGGGAAGGAAGCCCTAAGCGCATGCAGCCCTGGTACTGATGAGGAACACCTGGCCACCGCACAACACAAAAACACAGCAGTGAGCGACACGAAGGCAAACACCACCTAGGAAACCGAGGCCAGAGAAGCGTCTGTCCCGGTTGACATTAGTTTACGAGCTGGAGTGCTATGCAGCTAGCGAGGTGAGGTCTGGGGACCCCCCTCCCCCTCTCAGGGAGGGGACCGCTGCGCGGACGAGCAGTGTGGCAGTTGTGTATTACGTTTGCTTGTTTGCTTGTTTCGTTGGGATTGTAGGGAGTTCTACCTCTCTGTTCGGTTTTTGTTGGTAGTTTCTTACCATGTGGGGTTTGTTTTGTTATGCCAACCTTTCTGGGTGCCTAACCCCAGTCGATGGCAGATAAGAAAAAACCCCAACCACCGGGGTTTCCAGGGCCATTGCTCCCAGCAACCTCTCTGAAGGGGCCAGGTTCTGCCGCTGGTCCCTGGTAGGTCTGAACTCTATAGCTAATGTCCCAGTCTAATATAACATACATTAGCCCAATAAGCTCCAGAGAGCCCTAGGGGCTCTCCACAGAAAATGCATTGTAAAAAAGTATAAAAAAAATACATTGTATAAAAAATTTGACTGAAAAAAGTAGGTATATTAAAGTAAATTTAAGGGTAATCCACAGGTACATTTTAGCATAAGTTGAGAAGTATTGCAAGATATAATGTAGCAAACTATGTGTATATCATGATATAAGATAACAGCAATGATTACAATGGCAAAGTTGTATAGCATAGGTACATATATTGGGGAATTGGGTAACACTAGATACAGTGCTAGTTTCAAAGCACTAGGTAGGACACTATGAAGATGAAATTAGGTACTTTTTGGTTTTATTTTTGAATAAAGTAAAAGTCTGACAGCTTTTCAATTCGTTAGGAGTATAAGACTGCCACATAATTTTCCTCCTTCACAACCCAACCTATCTATTAATGCTATATAATTTAACTAATCAAAATCCCACACATAATCCAAACAATCAGGGCCAGTCACTAAAATAATGGAGTGCATGGTCCCTGGATGTATGTAAACAGGAGCGCTATGATCCTGGTTCCTTTGCAGAGTGCCAATTTTGGACTCAGGGTTGTAACAATGCAACATGGGTTTGTGAAAAATAGATCATGCCTTACAAACCTGCTCATATCTTTGGAAATGGTAACCAGCTATTCATAGAATGGACTTCCAGTAGATGTAGCTTACATGAACTTTGCTAAAGCTTTTAACATGGTACCACATGAAAGACTGGCAAGGAAATTACAGGCACATAGAATAAATGGGAGAATACTGGAATGGATAAACAATGGTTAAAACATAGAAGACAAAGGGTCGTGCTAAATGAGAATGAATCTGACTGGGGAAATGTGCTAAGTGGGGTGCCACAGGGGGTCCATTTTGGGGCCAACCCTTTTTGTCATACACATCAATGACATAGATGAGAATATTACAAACCACATTATCAGATTTGCAGATGACACTAAGATCTATGGTAAAATGGGAAGTGAAGGTGATATTGTGACCTTACAAAGAGATCTACATGAACTCCACAAATGGTCAGATGACTGGCAAATGCTTTTTAATGTTGATAAATGCAAGGCCTTGCATGTGGGGCATAACAATCTATGTCACAACTACCAAATTAACAGCATTACCTTACAACAGATTGACAAAGAAAAGGACCTTGGAGTCAGAATCCATCATTCACTAAAAGTTGCACAACAAGAGGGAGCGGCAATAAAAAAAAAGCTAACCAAACCCTAGGAATAATCAAGCATACCTTAATCTTTAAAGAAAAGAAGGTAGTCATTCAATTGTATAAGTCCCTGGTGTGGGGTGCACCAATGGTGCACCATGCACCTGGATTATTGCATTCAGGTATGGAGAACTCATCTTCAGAAAGACATAGCTGATCTGGAGAAGGTGTAACACCGGGCAACAAAAATCATTCCAGAGCTAAGTCACCTCTTGTATCAGGAACGGTTGAGGGCCACTGGGCTAACAACACTGCAAACCAGGCATGACAGGGCAGATCTCATCAAAAGCTTTAAAAATACTGAACAATTTGGAGGATGTCGATCCAGACAATTTCTTCAAAGGATCAGATGTAACACGAATGAGGAGCAATGGGTTCAAGCTCAACAAGCCACAATGTAGGACTGAAAATAGGAGATGCTTTTTCACCCATAGGGTTGTAAACCCATGGAACTGTCTACCCGCCGAAGCCGTAAACGCCAAAACTCTGCTGGGATTTAAAATACAGTTGGAAAAGATCATCAGGGCAAATTGGGGGGGGGGGGCCTTAGACAAGCCGATGGCTTCCCTGTCCTCGTCAAGGCCACTAGTATTAGTGGCCCTCAGGTAAATTATCACAATAGATTTTGCACAAATCAGCTATTAATAAATGTTGTTTAGAAAGTGGTACAGTGACTTTCATGGTGTAATGACCCACATGGTACTATCTCGCCTTGTATCTATCTCGACCGCGCACTCCGCTACTACCACTGAGCTAACCGTGCAATCTCCGCTCTTTCTATGGTAATAACAGATGCTATACCGATCATGTAAGATGTTAACACTCGGGCCGTCATACGAAGACGTAAACCAGTACACAGAGGAAGGAGAGAGAGAGAGAGGGCGAGGGAGGCAGAGCGAGAACGAGAGCAAGGGAGGGAGAACGAGAGCGAGTGAGGGCGAGGGAGAGTGAGACACTAGTGAGGGAGAGTGAGACAGAAAGATAGAGATAATCGTAGTCACAGCCTATCGTATGAGTTACCGAGTGACGCTGCCACCACCCTGAGTTACCGGACAGGGGACCGGAGTGAGATTCGTAGGTCTTGCAGATGGAATAACCTACCAGGACAGGTGTAGGGGACAATTGAACGGTACAAGGATCCTGGCCTGACACTCGAATAATCCTGACCACTTGGGAACTATAGGGTACACAAGAATAAGGCGGGACACCCCCAATACTACTACCTCAACACGGAAAACGAACGGGGGGGAGGAGTACGGGATAATTAAGAACACTAGGTCACTGGGGCAAAGGGGACGGTAGGCCCAATATCACTAAGACAAGGAAACATTAATACACATTTAATAACACTTAATATCTGACTTTATTTGAAATAATTAAATAAGACACTCCCTAACTATATTCCCTACTAGAGGCCAAGAGTACTGAATGAGGTGCTTTAGTACAAGAGAGCCGTACTTACTCGTATGTTGTTCCACCGTTTCCGGGAGATGATGTTCCTTCCCCGAGTCCACACACACCTTCCTACTGGGCTGCGCCCACTCAACTGACTCTCCCCTGATCTGTTGCTCCTCAGCTGAACGTGAGGGTTCTACCTTTGATGTTTAGGGGTTAATCCCTGAAGATTTTCATGACGGCATCAACTCTGACCTCTTTGTGATTCGATGACCGTTGACCTGACTCTCTGGCTAACTTGTACAGAGGTGTAACTTTTACATTGTCTGCCGCCGCCTGTCTGGCGCCTGTGGGTTGTTCATCCTCCACGTGGCCTGTTCATGCTGTTATGATGTTCATGTACTATGTACTGCTCTCTTGTTACAATGGCAGTCAGGCCATGAAAGTCAGGTCAGTAGGCCAACTACATAATGCCCATATTTCTTAAAAGATTTAAAGTTTTAAATTTTTTCTTTTCAGAGGAGAATGATTACATAGCCTTTGGCATGAGTGGATCACAGACCCAGCCAGAGATGATTGGTGGGGATGTTGTGGTGTCATTTATGGAGGGCTACTTAGGAAATCTCATTGACTACAACATGTCTTCCTACACACCAGTAAGGATATGAGAGTTTATATACTAAATATTCTTATTCAAAATTATACAAAAATTGTTAATGCTGTTTAAATTTTTCTATAAGAAAAATGTATTGTTGAGTTTATAAAAAATACTTTCTGAGCATAACACTCGGTGTACATTCAGTGCCAATCTGGCAGGGAGCTTTTCAAGTTGTCCCCATCAGATCTGATTAATTAATTTATTTATTTATTTATTTATATATATACAAGAAGGTACATTGGGAGTGTGAGGATACATAGCATAGTAATTACATTCTTGTAAAGCCACTAGTACACACAGCGTTTCGGGCAGGTCCTTAATCTAAGAAAATTTTAAGTAGGTAAATACTTGCAAAATTTATAAAAATGATAACAGTTACATAGCAAGAAAAAAAAATAAAAGATGAGAGAAAATTGTAGGTATATTATAGCACATAGGTAGCTCAGATTGATTGCAATGACAGCGTGAATGATAGTTGACAAAAATTAGTAGGCACAATACAGCATATGGCTAGCACATATGCTGTAAGTAAGTTCCAGGTCTCAGGAAATCTTCCCTATCGATTTTATCAATTCCTGTTACTATTTTGTATGTAGTGATCATATCACCTCTTTTTCTTCTGTCTTCCAGTTTTGGCATATTTAATGCCTCTAACCTCTCTTCGTAGCTCTTGCCCTTCAGTTCTGGGAGCCACTTAGTAGCATGTCTTTGCACCTTTTCCAGTTTGTTGATGTGCTTCTTAAGATATGGGCACCACACAACCGCTGCATATTCTAGCTTTGCGCCTAACAAAAGTCGTGAACAATTTCTTTAGTATATCACCATCCATGTATTTAAAAGCAATTCCGAAGTTAGAAAGTGTAGCATAGCCTCCTCGCACAATATTCTTTATGTGGTCCTCAGGTGATAGTTTTCTATCTAGAACCACCCCTAGATCTCTTTCTTTATCAGAATTCTTTAAAGATTTCTCACATAATATATAGGTTGTGTGGGGTCTATGTTCTCCTATTCCACATTCCATAACATGGCATTTATTAACATTAAATTCCATTTGCCAAGTGGTGCTCCATATACTTATTTTGTCCAGGTCATCTTGAAGGGCATGACAATCATCTAAGTTTCTTATCCTTCCTATTATCATATAGGAAGGGTTTGCTGATGATGTTTGCATCATCAGCAAACATGTTCATATAATTCTGTATACCAACTGGTAGATCATTTATGTAGACAATAAACATCACTGGTGCAAGAACTGAACCCTTTGGTACTTCACTTGTGACATTTCTCCAGTCCAATACATTGCCTCTGATCACTGCCCTCATTTTTCTATCAGTCAGAAAATTTTTCATCCATGTTAGAAGCGTACCTGTCACCCCTCCAATATTTTCCAGTTTCCAGAACAACCTCTTATGTGGAACTCTGTCAAAAGCTTTTTTTAGGTCCAGATAGATGCAGTCAACCCAACCATCTCTTTCCTGTAATATCTCTGTTGCTAGATCATAGAAACTGAGTAAATTCGATACACAGGATCTTCCAGATCGAAAACCATACTGTCTGTCTGATATTATATCATTTCTCTCCAGGTGTTCTACCCATTTAGTTTTAATTATTTTTTCCAATATTTTGACTATTACACTTGTCGATGATACCGGTCTATAATTAAGGGGGTCTTCCCTGCTTCCACTTTTGTATATTGGAACTATGTTAGCCTTTTTCCACACATCAGCTACAACTCCTGTAAACAGGGATGCCTGAAGAAGAGGAATGCTGAGTTCAGGTGCACATTCTCTCAGAATCCATGGTGAAATTCCATCTGGGCCAACTGCTTTGTTCTTATTTAGCTCCTTGAGCATTTTTTCCACTTCGTCTCTAGACACCTCTATGTGCTCTATGTTGTTCTCTGGAATTCTTATTGTATCTGGTTCCCTGAAGATTTCATTTTGTACAAACACACTTTGGAACTTTTCATTTAATGTTTCACACATTTCCTTTTCATTTTCCATGAATCTATTTCCCATTTTGAACCTCTGTATATCATCCTTTACCTGCAATTTGTTGTTTATGAATTTATAGAATAGACCTGATTCTGTTTTACATTTGTCTGCAATCCCTTTTTCAAAATTTCTTTCTGCCTCTCTCCTCACTGCCTTGTAGTTGTTGCTCGCATCTTTGTATCGATGGTATGTTTGGGGGTTTGGCATTAACATGTGTAGGTGTTCCGCGACCTCTATCACGGGTAATACGCCACACTAACTCATCTTATATTTCCAGTTTTAGCCCCCTAGATATTGGGGGAGTTCTGGATTTTTTATATAGGGGAAACTTCCTAGTTCTTTTCTCTGAATACGGGAGTACGGTGGCTCTGAGTGACACTGCCTCCACCTCTACACTACACCTACTCTTCTCCTACTGCACACGCAACTCAGGATATACTCCACTAGCGGTGCTCTCTGACTATTACATGGCTAAGCTATGTTATGACACTATAGTGCCTATGCTCTACAGGAGAGGACCAGGCTCTGGTTCTCGAATTTTGGATGAGTATTGGGTATTGTTTGTGGTTTGTTGCTTGGCCACTTTGCGTGCATCTTAATATGTCCATATATATTGTTATTCGTTACACTAAGGGCATAGCCCCGAATTTCTTTAACTTTTGCTTTACTTTTTCAGTGACTGCATCTTTTCTTGCCTCTGGACACTCATTTATTGATCGTCATTCAGTGAATGGCTGCACCCTTGTATATACATTGGAATCTCTCTCTCTCTCTATATATATATATATAGATGATCTTGTACATTACGGTAGCACTTGCTACCTAGGTCATTTTAGTTCGTCATTTTGATTATACTCTCTTGTCCCAAGCTGCTGGTATGTGGGCCTTATTTAAGGTGTTTTCATAGCATATTTACGTATTTCCTACTTCTATGCTACACGTTTTTGTGTATATTTGTATATGTATATTGGCTATACTAATGATAGTGCTAGGCTGGACTATGTACATGTTCAGTTCCCTGTTTTTGAACTGACCAGTGTTCAATTATAACACCGAGTTCTTTCATCTTCTTGTATCACACTACCGGCTGCTGTGTTGCAATGTCTGCAGGTGGATGTCGATTTCCATTCACCCACTCCCGCCCCCAATAGTTCATTTTCATTGGGACAGGGGAAACTAGAATTATGGACCTGGCTACGAGCTTTTCTTTGTGTTAGTTTTCCATACAGGACTTTTTATTTTATTGCAGCACACGTCCTAAGTAGTTCTCCTTACATAGTACATTCATCGGCAACGCGTGCATCTTTCTGCCCTGCTGGGGCTGGTTGCACCATTCCTGTGTCACTGTTTTCGCTTCACGTCTCGCATGTCGGCTCGTGGCGCTCGCTTCATCGTTGGCCTCTGTCTGGGCCCTAGCTCTTCAGTTTTTGTCACCATTTTGTCCTTGCATTTTGCGGGGTCTGCGGTTGGGCTGTTTCTGCCAGCGGCTTCTTCTTGTTGTCATCCATTATCGGCCTTGTTGGTCCTTCAGGGGTCCCAGGAAGAGGGAGGAGGGTTCTACCAGACGGGGCGTGTCTGCTCGCCCAGGTTGGTTCTTTCCCGGCATTCGAGCTCTCACCATGTTCGGGTTCCTGGTACTCTGGCGGACGTTCCATCTGGTTCCCTGTCAGCCTTGGTTTCAGCTGCTGCTTACTGGGTATCCATACCCAGGGGTTTTCCCACGGCTCTGCCTCTTTCCGATGCTCAGTACAGTCCATTACGGGGTCGAGTTTGGTTTTCTTGAGTCTTCGCGTCTGGTGATTTTGACTCAAGTCTATCACCTCCTGTTTGGTGATCAGGTGTCTTCTTTGATGTTGTCCTACCTGCTTGCTTCGTCGAGGCGGCAGTATTGGGTTTCCTGGTGGTTCTTTCTTTTTCTTTTTGTCTCTTCGTAGGTATACTTCATTTTTTGTTGAGGTGGTTTTGTCCTTTTCTCTAGTGATTGTTTCAGGACTGTCTTCGCATGCCACATTCTGTCGCCTCGTATCGTGCAGTGCTGGCGGAGCCTCTACTACTTGCTTTCAGTCTTTATGTTCCTTCTGCACCATTTTGCAATCAGTCTAGGGCGTTGTTTCACCTCCGGCCTGCTCATGTGCTACCTGAGCCATCTTGGTCTTTGAACATGAGGTTTTATCTCTTCCCCTCGGTTTGTTGTGGCCCCTTCGGTTCCAAATTGTTTCTCAGAGGTTTCTGCTCCTTTGGGTTCTGGTGTTAGGTTTGTTTGTTGCAATCATTCTTCTTTTTCTGGTAAGGTTGAGTCATCTGTTTTTTCTGGAGGGGTCTTTGAGTTGTTGATGACTGGTTGGTCAGGCCAAAGGTGCATCATGTCTTGTGTCCGGTTGTGGCTCTCCGCCGCTATTTGCGCGCCACGGCTTCGGTGACCGGGGATGTGCTTTGGGTTGATCCGGTTTCCCTTCTTCCCTGTTCCCAGGATCAGGTCTCCCAAGTCATCCACAGGATTAGAGCTAGCCAGCCTGCAGTCTATCCTCGTGCCCATGACGCTCGTAAGTTCGCTGCTTTGGCTGCCATCTTTGGCAACTTGCCTTGGGTTGACATTCGGGCACGGGGTTTTTGGAGGTTGAACAGGGTCCTGGCTGCTCACTACCTTGTCAATGTCCCTGGTCCTCGTAGGGCCTGCATTGCATTGGGTTGGCAGTTGCAGTCAGTTGTCTCGGCTTCGTGTTGAGGAGTGAGGACTGACCGCCACCTGGGTAAGTCCCTGTTTTTCCTTATCTTGAGGTAGTTAGCTCCAGGAAGCCGACGGGGCTTTCCCCAGAAAACCAGAGTTAAATGTAATGAAACGCCATTTTCTGGGTGAGTCCCAGAGACTCGCCAGCCTTCCTCCCTCTCCCCGGTCGGCAGTGTTTTCACGTGTTTTGACATCCAGCCTAAGAACTGAAAGGTGGATCACCAGCATGGGGGTCTGGAGTTTCCCCTTCCCCTTCCCGGGGAGGGGGGTTGCGCAGACAACATGATGATGTCATGTTCGTTTGCTAATTTTCGTTTGGAGAGTTCTGTCCACTCGTTCGGCTTTTGGTAACAATAGTTACCAGCAGAATAGGGGTTTGTTTTGGGGTGCCTACCTCTCTGGGTGCCAGATCCAGTTGATGGCAGACATAGAATGCTTCCAACCAGACGGGGGTTTCTATAGGCCATTGCTCCTCGTGCCTCTCTTGAGGGGGGTCAGGTTCTGGCTCATGGTCCTCGGTAGGCAAGAACTCCGTGCACATTGACTGATGCCAGAAAGTTATACATATCCATTCAGCCCGGATAGCTCCGGGGAGCCTCTGGGACTCGCCCAGAAAATGGCATTTCATTACATTCAGTGCTGGGTTTTTTAGCAAGTCATCGAAGTGGACCAGGATCTGGTTACCCACCCCCACATCCAAAGTTATGGAGCACCACTTGGGGTCAGCCTTTGTGAATGAGCGGGAGCTCTGAAATGGTAGAACATGCTTTCATACCCTAGGAAGTTCCTAAACGATGATATGGAATGTCCTAACAAGAATTAGAGGTACAGGGAGAATAAAACCCACCATACCAATGGCATGGTGGTTATTGGAAAAGTCAGGCAATGGATGCAAATATTTACTTTTGACAAGTTGAGAATTGTGCTCATCTTGTTGGAGACCTTCAATTTGTTATAGAAGTGACAGGGATTCACCTGAAAAGTATGAGTTGTACAGACTGCTCACTTGTCCAGCATTCCTGAAGGTAAGCATAGATTGGGGAAGACAATTGCTGGAGACAAGGGAAACCTGTCTGCTTAACACTTTGTAATCCTACTGGTACACTTGAAAAGATCCCCGCAATGCCAATGGCCAAAATTGATAGCTCAGAAAAATAGTTAAAAGGAAAAATAAAACTAGGTACTGTTCATTTCATAAATGGCTTGCTCCTGTCTTGTATATTTGTTTACTATAACTCAGTATTTTATGTAGCCTACATAATTTGAAAGTAAGCTCTGGATTCTTAATTGTACAAAGAACCACTCATACAGAAGTTAGTCTTAAGATTGGTGGGTAGATAAAGATCTTTTGTCTACTCACCAATGTAGATATCTTTTTATTTTTCAGTGCACAAAATTGCTAGGTCAACACAAGGGTGTGTGTCAGGATGACAAAGTTGGTGGGACGCAGGACTACCAAATCTTCAGCAGCAAGAGGGAAGATGGCATCAATATTTTCACGTTCAGGCGCCGCCTTGTCACCCGTAGGTTCCTCACTAAGTTGCTTCATATTTTACATTACCAAACATTATCAATTTTATAAACAAATGCTCTCTCATATTTAAGAAACTTGTCAGTTGCTCCATGTTTATTTATTATCAACAATTAGGAAATTGTTTGGGTAAGGGAGATAATGCATAAGAAGTATTTTAGGTCAAGGATTGTACAACAGCCCTGTATAGTTTGTAGTTGATCATCTGATATCCAGATAGGACTAGTAAGCGAATGGTTATTTGAGTTCTGTTTACAAGCACGATATCTGGCTTGCTGTAGTTTTGTTATGAATTCATGGATCATGGGTCTCTGCCTTCTGCCTAATAATCTTGGACAGGTAAAATTATTGTAATAAATGTAATAGGAGTGTGACCAAGTACCATTCTACAACAGTATTACCTGTTATAGACTGAAGCAGAATGTAGTGATGTAGTGACGTAAGCATTCACGTGCATTTTTTTCACCTCCAGCCTGCTCATGCACCGCCTGAGCCTTCTTGGTCTTTGGACCATGTTTTTTCTTTTCTTTCTTTTCCTCGCTTTGTTGTGGGCCCTTCAGTTGGGGATTGTTTTTGGAAGGCCTTGATTTTGTTGGCCTTGGTGGGGAGGGAGGGGGGTCGGGTTGGGAAGCTTCAAGCTCTCCTCCGACGCCGGGGATTCTTTTCAGTTGGTCCAGGTAGTCGTTTTGTTCATTTGTGGCCGCCTTCTTCTTTCCGGGTGAAGAATGAGATGGCTGGCTTCTGGAGAGGCCTGTTGGTTGTGGCTACTTGGTTGGTTACGCCGGGGGTGCATCACGTGTTATGTCCGATGGTGACTTTCCGCCGCTGCTTGCGGACCACTGGTTCTGTGACAGTGGACGTTCTCTGGATGGATCCGATTTCCCTGGTTTCCTGTTCCAGGGCTTGTGTGTCTCAGGTTGTCTGCAGTTGTCATCAGTTTCATCTATCCTCGTGCCCATGAGATTCGGATGTATGCTTCTCTCGCTGAGGTTTTTGGCAACTTGTCTTGGGTAGACATTTGGGCACGGGTGAGGGGGGGGTTTGGAGGTCAAACAGGGTCCTGGTCGTCAGATATCTAGTGAACGTTCTCGTTCCTTCCCGGCCGTGTGTGACTTTGGGGCGCTTGTTGCTGCCGTCTGTCACTCCATCTTGAGACCTGCAGTGCTGCTGCCTCCAAGGTAAGTCCCTCCTTTTTACTTATCTTTGGGTAGTTTGCTTCAGGGAGTCAATGGGGGCTCCCCACAGAAAACCAGTGTTGAATGTAATGAAATGCCATTTTCTGGGTGAGCCCCGGAGGCTCCCTGACACCCTCCCTCCTTCTGGTCGGTGGTTTTTCATTGTTCAAGAACTGGAGTGGTGGGTTGCCAGCTAATGAGCGGAAGTGCTAGTCGCATGAAGGGTTGCTTGTTTGGTTTCTTTCTAGGGGGGGTCATTTTGATCTTTTGGGGTGTAGATTACACAGGTTAACCAGACAGTGGTCCGTTTTGATTTGTCTACCTTTCTGGGTCGATGGCAATTATGACTTACTGTACTTCAAATGTATGGTGCTCATAGGCCATTGCTGCTTGCACTTCTCTGAGGGGGCCAGGTTCTGGCTCGTGGTTCCTGTTAGCCAAAAGGACTCTTGTGACTGATGACCCCAAACTAATATAGCATATATCAGTTAAGATAGCATCCGGTAGCCTCCAGGGCTCGTCCAGAAAAATGGCATTTCATTACATTCAACGCTGGTTTTCTGTGGGGAGCCCCTACGGCTCCCTGGAGCTTATCGGGCTAATGTGTGTTATGTTAGACCGGGACATTAGCTAAGGAGTTCAGACCTACCAGGGACCAGCGCCAGAACCTGGCCCCTTCAGAGAGGTTTCAGGGAGCAATGGCCCTGGAAAACCCCATATGGTTGGGGGTTTTCCTTATCTGCCATCGACCGGGGTTAGGCACCCAGAAAGGTAGGCGTAACAAAACAAACCCCACATGGTAAGAAACTATAACAAAAACCGAACAGAGAGGTAGAAAACTCCCTACAATCCCAAGAAAACTAGCAAACAAGCAAACATCACACTTTACTGCCGCGCCGATTGTCCGCGCAGCCCTCCCCACCCCGGGAGGGGGAGGGGGGAGCCCCGGACCTACCGCGCCGGCTGCCAAGCTCCAGTTCATTCCCTAATGTCAACCAGGATTGACGCTTCTCTGGCCTCAGTTTCCTAGGCGGTGTTTGCCTTGTGTGGCGTTCACTGCCGTGTGTTGTGTTGTGCGGTGGCCAGGAGTACTTCATCAGTGCCGGGGCTGCATGTGCTTAGTGGCTGACTTCCCTAAGCGCCCTGTGAGTACTGCCCTTGCGTTACAGGGTTATCTTCCCTGGGGCGTTCGGGAACCATTCCCGTAGAGGTTCTTGCTGCTCGGCATTTGCCTCGCCCTTGGGGCCAGCTGGGGCTTGGGGCCCTTGTTTGGCCCTGGGTAGGGATTGGTATTGTGCTGGTTAGGGCGTCAAGGTGTTGCGCAGCCTGCCACCTAAGCGGCGGCCGGTTTCTGTTGCCTCTGGAGACGGTGTACTTTTGCGGGGTTTTTCTTTTGTTTTTCATTTTCTTGCCTGGTGGGGGTCTGCCTAAGGTGGTTATAGTTCCACTGGTAGTGTTTGGCGGCCCTCTGCTAGGCCCCCGTGCTTGTACACGTCTCGGGGGTTTTCAGTGCTATAATCTACCCTCTTGTTATGTTTGGGTTTCTTAACCGGTTAGCAACACCTTGCCTGGGCTTCCCGTAGTTGTTACCCTACGGGCCCTGGAAACCCCTGTCTGGGCTCGGGGGAACATTGAATGTGTCTTCCGGGTTCCAACCCGTCTTGAACGGGATCGTTGGTTGCTGTTCCCTTGTCTCCGGGTGACAGTCGCCATTTTTACCTCCGTCATGCTGCCTGTTGGGTCACTGACACCTTGACCCGGAGTCTTGCGAGTGATTCTCTGCTCGTTCTCCAGTACTCTCCTGATGTTATTACTGTTCAGAGTACAGGCGGCATCCGTGTTGCAAGCTAGGTTAGGTTGCTGCAACATGCTAGGTTGGTTTCCCACTCGAATGCCCGTGGCCGCCCCGTTTGGTTAGGTGCTACTCGCCCCTTTCTCTCCATGTTCCCGGCTCCGGACCGTCTGCGTGTTTCGGGGTCGGGGCGGGGTTCAGTTGCGGCAGAGACTCGGGCGGTTTTCGGGGTATGCCCCGTTCGGGTTGGGGACGGAGGTTTGAGCCTGTGCCTCCTGCCAAGGCTTCTGGGTCTTACCAGCGGCCCTTTCTTGTTGCCTTTCCCATGGGCTCTTGCTTTTCTTTAAGGGCGGAGGGCTTGGAGGACGGCTCTGCCCCGGGGCTGTGGGGGTTGCCTGCTAGCAGTTCTGGGGCGGTTTTGCCCCTTCAGGGGTTTTTCTGCTGTTGGGCGTCGTTTTTCGCCCTTCCAGTCTGCTAGCTTCCCACATTTGCTGGCGCGTTTTTGTGTATTAACCGTCAGTCACAGCCCCTGCTGGCGGCCATTTTCGTCTGCCGGTTTCACGGCGTGGCCACCAGGGCGGCGTTGCGGTTTGTTTACATGCGTCTGGGTGTGCGAGCAAGCGTCTCTGGTGAGTTTTCAAAATATTTGCAGGGTTTTTGTTCTCCTGTTGTCGTTTCTTTGTTTTTCTGGTGTTTTCTTGCCGTTGCCTGTTCCTCTGGGAACGTTTGGGTGTTGATTTTGGGTCTGAGCCTCTGGGTTTAGGCTCAGTGCCCCTGGCTGGTATGCTTGCTCCCACACCTTGCCCCTCGGTTTTCGGTCTGTTGGGACCGTTTTCCCAGGGCGTTCTGCTGGGGTCTGTGCTTTGCCTTTTAGTGGTGTTCTCCGCCGGCAAATGTGGTGGTTTGGGCTCCCCCTGGTTCGATTCTGGGTTCCTTTGGGTTCCTTGGTTTCGTTCTGGAGGTTTCTTCCTCTTGGGCCCCCTTTTGTGGGTTCAGGGGACTTTGTTTCCTCGTGTGACCCGGTTCTGCCTTTTGGGGTTCCGGGGTCTTCCTGACTTGCAGGCTGAGCTTTTTGGGTCTTGGCACATGTTGTGGTTGTGCTGGGACTTTGTGGTTTTGCTGTCGAGGTGGGCCTTTTGATGCAGTTTTGTGCCTTCTTTGCCTGGCCGGCGTAGTGCTCTTTGCCACTAGTCGGCGGCTTGTGCTTTTACAATATATGTCCTCACCTAGTTGTGCTTGTGGGGGTTGAGCTCTGGCTCCTTGGTCCTGCCTCTCAACCGTCCGTCAACAGGTGTATCGGTTCCTGTGCCTCTTGGGCTCTGTCATGTCTACATGTGACATTATATGGGGGTCAGCCTCGTTACTTGTGTGAGGAGTCGCCACATTACTTCTTAGTGCTTTCCCGTTCCCATTCTGACACTCAAAAAAAAAAAAAAAAAAAAAAAAAAAATAATTCTATCTGTGGCTCTTTTGGGTACTCAGTTTCCACCTGTGTCCCCTAGTGCGTGTGCCCCTTGTGTTACATAGCCTGTCCTTCTCAACCCTGTCGATTCCCTTGGGTATCTTGTATGTGGTGATCAGGTCTCCCCTCACTTCCTCTTCCAGCGAAGTGTGGTTTCATTCCCGTAGTCTCTCCTCATGACTTCGGTAGTGTACTTTTTCTTTCTGAAGGGGTTCTGTTCCCTTCTCTGTTGACTGGGCGCTGGGGGAGCAGCTTGCTCTGTTGCCTCTCGCTTGGTCCCGCTGTTGGTGGGCGCTTTGGGTTGTCTTCCGGCCTCTGCTGGCGTCGGAGGACGGCTTCTCCCCCTTGGGGGGGGTTCAGAGCTGGCGGGGTGGGCTTCTTCCCTGCGCTTCGTCATTTCCTCTTCGTGGGTGCGTGGGGCGTGGTCGATCCGCCCCATCCTTCTGGGCTTCCCGTCTGCTCTTTGCAGTCATGAGCTTTTCCCGTCTGCTCTTTGCAGTCATGAGCTTTTCCAGTCTGCAGTTCTTCTGGACTACTTCCGTCTGCGCCCTGGATCCTCTGCCCTGCTCGGAGGACTGTTGTCTCCTGTTCGGATTCTGTTAGGGCCGGGTGCATGGATGGTGGACCTGGACCTCCAGGTCACTTCTTGGCACGTTCCTCTCCAGTTTTTCTGGGGCTAGCACGGTTGGTAATTACCTATGTGTACTTACCTAAGTGTAGTTACAGGATGAGAGCTACTCTCGTGGTGTCCCGTCTTCCCAGCACTCTTTGTCATATAATGCTTTGATTATAATTGTCATATTGTCATATAATGATTGTCATATGTCATAATATGTCTTCATATGATTGTCATACAATGCTTTGGTGGTGGGGCTTCAGGTTTGCTGTTTTTATTGCATTCCCTATTTTGTGAAGGGCACTTTGTATACTCTTTGCATCTTTACCGGATCTTAGTGCCCTGTCTGCGTCTGAGATTCGGTGTCTGGCCTACCTCGACGACTGGCTGGAGTGGGCTCCCAGTCAGTCCGCTTGTCTGCTCGCCAGGGGATGGTTCTTTCCAGATCGCTGGGTTTGGTTTCCTGGTGATCTGGAGGTTTTACCTTCTGTTTCCGTCCCGGGTTCGGTCCTGGGCCTTGTTTCAGGCTCTTGGGCCCCTCATTGTCTTCCCTCCAGAAGTGTTACTGTGGCTGTGGTCCCGCCTTTGGCTGTTCAGGAGGGGGTCCCGGGTTGCTCAGCGGTTGCTTGGGCGGTTGTGCGGGAGTTTGCGCTTCGGCGTGCTTGTCTGCCCGCGGAGTCGGGTTTGGCTCCGGCGTCGGTTGGTTGCTACGGAGACTCCACTTCCGCCTCTTGCATTCCTTGGGTTCCTCTGGGGATCTGGTGTTGGTGCTGCGCCACCAGCTTCCTCTTTGGGGTTTTCGGGGTTCCGTGCCTTGGCGGCTCCCCGAGCCTTCGCTCGATGTGTTCACGGACGGGTCGTCTCTCGGCTGGGGCTTTGTGAACAGTGCTCACCAGGTCGGCCGAGGTTGATGGAGTCTGTCTGTCCGTCGGGCTCACAGCCCGGTTCAGGTGTTCATGGCTGTCTGGTTTGCGCTTCGGAGGGTTTGGGTCACTAGGTACTCTACCATTCAGCTCTGTTTGGACTGTTCTCTGGTGGTTCTTGCCGGAACCACAGGGGGTTTGGTTAACCGTGTGGTTCGTGTCCGGGGTGTGTCCTGCGTCCTGGTGGACAGCTGTCTCGGTTCATTCCTCTTCGTGGGTTGGCCAGTCGTCGCCGATTCGTTTTGTTGGCTCTGTTGGGCTTATGGACTCCTGGCCATGGACGTCTTCGGGTCGGCGTGGTCTAGGCGTCGCCCGTTTTGTGGCGCCCTTCCCACCTGCGAGGACTTCACGGTGGAGGCTTTCGGCAGGCCTGGTCGAGGGGGGGGGTACCTGTACCTCTTCTCCCGGTCCAGCTGTTGCTTCGGGTTCTGGCTCGGTTGCAGCCCATTCCCACGAGAACAGTCCTTATGGTTCCACTGTGGCCGGCCCGGCCTTCTTTTCAGACGCTGCTTGATAGGTGTCCGTACCCGGGGTGTTTTTCCTGAGGCTTCGCCTCTTTCAGCAGGCCGCATCGGTCCTGTCCGTGACTGGTTCGGCCTTCTCTTTGGCTCTTCGCGTCTGGTTTTTTGACGCAGGTATCGCCATCTCTATGGTGTTCAGGTGGCTTTGTTGACGGTGTCCCACCTGCGAGCTTCGTCTTGGAGACTGTATGACGTTTATTACGTCTTCTCGCGTTTTGTTTCCACTCCGGCCTGCTCATGAGTCGCCCGAGCCATCCTGGTCCTTGTTCAGGGTGCCTTCTTCTCTTCCCCTCAGTTTGTGGTAGCCCCTTCGGTTTCAGTTTCCTCCTCTTTGGTACTAGTGGTAGCTTTATTGGTGTGCAGCCTTTCTCTGTCCTGGCGACGGTCGAGACGGCTGCTTTCCGGAGGGGTTCTTGGGGTATTGGTACTTGTTTGGTTTGGCCGGGGGGTGCGTCCTGTGTTGTCCAGTTGTGCTTTTTGCTGTTGCCGGCGTACCGTGCCTGGGAATGCGCTGTGGTTGATCCGGTTCCTTCGTTCCCTGTTTTCAGGGCTCGGGTCTCCCGGGTCGTCCGCAGTGTTTTCCTTCTTACTGCGGTCTGTCTTTGCGCCCGTGCTGTTCAGACGTTTGCAGCAATTGCTGCTGTGTTGGTGACGTCTCGGGCTCATTTCGGGCGCAGGGAATTGTGGGTCGCACAGGTTTTTGGCCGCCCATCCATATGTGCGTCTGTTCTTGGGCGTTCTTGTTGCCTTGGGTCGCAGGTTTGCGACCGGTTGTCTTGGCTTTGCGTTGCAGAGTTTGTGGCGGCAGCCTCCCGGGTTAGCCCTTTCTTTTCCTTCTCTTTGGGTATGAAGCTCCAGGGAGCCGTAGGGGCTCCCCACAGAAAACCAGCGTTGAATGTAATGGAACGCCATTTTCTGGGTGAGCCCCGGAGGCTCCCTGGAAACCCTCCCTCCCCACCGGTCAGCGGTTTTATCGCGTTGGTTGAAGCTTAGCTTCCGAACTGGAGCTTGGCAGCCGGCGCGGTAGGTCCGGGGCTCCCCCCTCCCCCTCCCGGGGTGGGGAGGGCTGCGCGGACGATCGGCGTGGCAGTAAAGTGTGATGTTTGCTTGTTTGCTTGTTTCCTTGGGATTGTAGGGAGTTTTCTACCTCTCTGTTCGGTTTTTGTTGTAGTTTACCATGTGGGGTTTGTTTTGTTACGCCTACCTTTCTGGGTGCCTAACCCCGGTCGATGGCAGATAAGGAAAACCCCCAACCATATGGGGTTTTCCAGGGCCATTGCTCCCTGAAACCTCTCTGAAGGGGCCAGGTTCTGGCGCTGGTCCCTGGTAGGTCTGAACTCCTTAGCTAATGTCCCGGTCTAACATAACACACATTAGCCCGATAAGCTCCAGGGAGCCTCCGGGGCTCACCCAGAAAATGGCATTTCATTACATTCAACGCTGGTTTTTTGTCGCCCTCTGAAACCTTGGACAATAGTCTAAAGGAGAATACAAGCTGAAAAAAATTTAATCACATTAATGTGATTTCATTGTGCTCAAGAATTCAATTCTATAAATAAAGTCTTCGATTGGGCAGCTGAAAATAACATGATGTTTAATGGAAATAATAATAATAATTCACTGTGTTGGGAGACAGGGAGCCAGAGTATATTCATACACCTTAGGCTTTTATCGAGGTCTGCCCTCCAAGGTCGAATTACTGACCCCACCCAGGATGCAACCCCACAATAAGCTGACTAACTCCTGAATGCCAACTTACTGCTAAGTGAACGAGAAAAGGTATTTGGTGAAAGGAAATGTCCCCAACCATATCTGTCCTGCCCCAGGATTCAAACCAGGAATTCTCGATTGCATCGAGAACGAACCCGACTCTACTACCGGGACACTAAAGTTCTGGTAGTATAAGTTCCAGGTAGTTTGGTATGGTGGCAACAAGGAACTTAAATGAAATACATGGTACAGGACACAATCATACTTACTCATAGAAGGACAGAAACAGGTAAACAATTTGGAAATTATGATGTCTGATGACCTGACATTTAGTGAACATAACTGAGCAAATATAGCGGCGGCCAGGAAAATAATAGGATGAGTTATGAGAACGTTCAAATCCTGAGGGCTCCCACAGCTATGCTTACACTATTTAAATCACTGGTGTTGTCCCGTCTTGAGTACTGATCAGTACTCACTTTCCCTTTCAGAGTAGGAGAGCTCTCTGAATTAGAGGGAATACAGAGGACATATAGAGCATGCAAAGAAACAATAAAACATCTAAATTATTGGGACCGTCTGAAAGCTCTCAGAATGTGTCCTCTGTAAAGGAGACGAGAAAGGTATCAAATACAGTAATATATACATGGAAGATACTGGAAGGCCAAGTTCCAAATTTGCACAGTAGAATAACAACATACTGGATTGAAAGATACAGAAGGAAATGCAGAATAGAACCAATGATGAGTAGAGGTGCCATAGGCACAATCAGAGAACACTGTCTGAACATCAGAGGTTGATAGTTGTTCAATACCCTTGCAGCAAGCCTTAGAAATATTGTCGGTACAAAGGTGGAAATTTTCAAGATTCACTTAGACAAGTTATTGCAAGAAGTGCTGGACCAACTTTTTTTTTTTTTTTTTTTTTTTGAGATATATACAAGAGTTGTTACATTCTTGTACAGCCACTAGTATGCATAGCGTTTCGGGCAGGTCCCTGGAATATGAGCCCCCACTGCGAAGAATCATTTTTTCAACCAAGTACCCATTTTACTGTTGAGTTAAACAGAGGTTACAGTTAAGGATTTGTGACCAGTAAATCCTCCCCGGCCAGGATACGAACCCATAACAAAGCGCTCGCGGAACGACAGGCGAGTGTCTTACCACTACACCACGGAGACTGGTAATGTAGTGGTTGTAGTGGATATGTGGTCCTGCAGGCCGCTCCAGGCTGTTAGACCATGTTATCACTAGTCGAGGGGGGAGTAGAAAAAGTCTTGAAACCCTCTCCAGGTAAGCTGTTTAATGCTAATCATGATCTGATACTTTCTTTAAAAATATAGGAATACTTTAGTGTTTATTGTTATTCTTGCTCAAAGGGAGTTTTATCCAATAGTAGATGCTCAAAGATAGTACTGTACCTCAGCATTTTGAAATGTCATCACAATGGAAGTCAATACTATAGTCAAAGATGTTTTTGTAGTATAAAATGTATATTTTGCCACTTGCTTTATATTGATCATCAGAATAATTTTTAGTTACAGGACAAGGGAGAATAAGAAATGTAAGTGTAGTAATTAATAAGTACTGTACTCATATCACTACATTTTATGTTAATTACTTTTACTGACCAGCTGATACTGGAGACATACCATACCCAGAGAAGGGTGAAGCCCTCATCATCTGGGCTCTCGGTACCCTTGACGGTGTTAAGAAACCAACCATGCATTATGCTTGGTCAAAGGTGAGTTATTATGGTAATTATTAATTTTTATACTGATGGTTTCAAAGCAAGTACTGTACAGTACTTGTACTAGTCATCCTGTCTTTAAAATTTGTAATTTCAGATTATAATAATTAAAATTAAACTTCTTCACTTCTTTTCACATTGCCTTGGTCAATACTGTACTCAAATACTTTGAAGTTTTGCATCAAGTAAATTAGTCTGTTGCATGCAGTCAAGAGCTTATTGTAGTCAACCATTGCCAGATCTACAGTATAAATATGTAGGTTTTATTAACAATACATTAAGCAAGTAAGATAATTTTAGGGCCACAAAATCATTTAATGCCAAATTTAGTACTCTTAACAAAATGTATTAGAGTAAATGCTCTACTGTATCTGTTCTGTGTTGGAGCTCTTGTAGGAGGTGTAATAAAGAAGTTTATGGACTGGATATATTTTGCAACTACTAAGGGTTCTAAACATCAAATAAAGCACCTGAACACAGGTTTTGTCTTGTGGCACACTCCCTCACTTCTTCCTTAGGAATTCTTAGGTGACTTGATTGGTGCCATCATTGACAGCTAGTTTATTGTGCACTTCATACTTATCCTGTGAATCATCATGCAAAATGATTACAAATAGCAGAAATGGTCTTAATCAGAGACCTCAACGAATGCTATTATATGGCACAAGTTAAATTAATTTTTTTTATTTTAAATGAATATTTTTCGGAAATGTGTTGAAATCCTCGCTATCCTTCCCCTAGGTATTTTAATGTATCTATTCTTATTTTTGCAGGTGAAACAACAAATTGAATTCACAAGGAAGGCAACAGAGAGAAACTGCTTTGCTTTCACTCGCAGTGATAAACCAAAATTGTGAGTATAAGAGTTGCAAAATACAAGCTTGTTTTGTAATTATTTCTATCTAGCCATTGCAAAGGTAGCTCAAACATATAGTAAGCCCTAATATAGTGGATTTTTAGGAAAATTTTACCTACAAATTCTATGATGTACTATACCCTTTGAAGAGGAAAAGTTAAATAATTTTCTTGGGGGAGCGCCGTCAGCTCCCCGGAGCTATCCCAGGCTGATATGCTAATGTCTGACTTTGGCATCAGTCATGTGTATGGAGTTCTTAGGCCTACCGGGGACCATGGCCAGAACTGGGCCCACTCAGAGAGGCAAGGGGAGCAATGGCCTATAGAAACCCCCTGTGTGGTTGGAAGCATTCTATGTCTGCCATCTAATGGATCAGGCACCCAGAAAGGTAAGCACCTCAAAACAAACCCCTATTCTAGTTAAAATTGCTACCAAAAGCCGAACTAGTGGATAGAACTCGCCCAACAGAAAACGAGCAAACTAGCATGACATCGCCGTGCCGCTGTCTGAGCAGCTCTTCCCTCCCGGGAGAGGGAAGGGGGAAGCCCCAGACCCTTCACGCCAGCTACCCACACCTCAGTTCTTGAGGCTGATGCTATAGGCGAAAGTCGTGTGCTCTGGCTTTAGTGTCGCTACAGCACTGTGCTTCGTATGTGGTGTTTGTTTCTGTGGGTGCGAAAATCCCTGCGCCGTTCGGGTGCAGGGATTTTGGCGGTCGAACAGGGTCCTGGCTGCTCAATATCTCATGAATGTTCCTGGGCCTAGTCGGGCCCGTGTAGCTTTGGGTCGGCTTTTGCAGCCAATTGTCTCAACTTCATGTTGAGGAGTGTGCAGCAACATCCTCCCGTGTCAGTTTCTTTACTTTTTCTCTGTGGGTAGTTAGCTCCGGGGAGCCGAAGGGGCTCCCCCAGAAAACAAGCGTTGAATGTAATGAAACGGCATTTTCTGGGTGAGATCCCGAGGATCCTCGGCATCCCTCATCCTCCCCACGGTCGGCGGGTTTTTCGTGTCTTTTGACATCAGCCTCAGAATTGAAGGGTAGATAGCTGGGCGGGGATCTGGGGCTCCGCCTTCCCCCTGCCAGGGAGGGGGAAGCTGTGCAGACAGTGGCACGGCGACCTGTGATGTCATGCTTGTTTACTCGTTTTTTGGGGGGAGTTCTATCCACTTGTTCGGCTTTTGGTAATTTTCACCAGAATAGGGGTTTGTTTTGAGACGCTTACCTTTCTGGGTGCCTAACCCGGTCGATGGCAGACATAGAATGCTTCCAATCACACGGGAGTTTCTATAGGCCATTTTTTTTTTTTTTTTTTTTTTTTTTTTTTTGAGATATATACAAGAGTTGTTACATTCTTGTACAGCCACTAGTACGCGTAGCGTTTCGGGCAAGTCCTTAATCCTACGGTCCCTGGAATACGATCCCCTGCCGCGAAGAATCGTTTTTTCATCCAAGTACACATTTTACTGTTGCGTTAAACAGAGGCTACAGTTAAGGAATTGCGCCCATTAAATCCTCCCCGGCCAGGATACGAACCCATGACATAACGCTCGCGGAACGCCAGGCGAGTGTCTTACCACTTCACCACGGAGACTGCCTTTTCTCCCCATGCCTCTCTGAGGGGGACCAGGTTCTGGCTCGTGGTCTCCGGTAGGCCCACAGAATTCCATACACATGACTGATGGAAAAGTCTGATATTAGTATATCAGCCTGGATAAGCTCCGGGGAGCCTCCGGGTCTCACCCAGAAAATGGCGTTTCATTACATTCAACGCTGTTTTTCTGTGGGGAGCCCCTACGGCTCCCTGGAGCTTATCGGGCTAATGTGTGTTATGTTAGACCGGGACATTAGCTAAGGAGTTCAGACCTACCAGGGACCAGCGCCAGAACCTGGCCCCTTCAGAGAGGTTTCAGGGAGCAATGGCCCTGGAAAACCCCATATGGTTGGGGGTTTTCCTTATCTGCCATCGACCGGGGTTAGGCACCCAGAAAGGTAGGCGTAACAAAACAAACCCCACATGGTAAGACACTACAACAAAAACCGAACAGAGAGGTAGAAAACTCCCTACAATCCCAAGGAAACAAGCAAACAAGCAAACATCACACTTTACTGCCGCGCCGATCGTCCGCGCAGCCCTCCCCACCCCGGGAGGGGGAGGGGGGAGCCCCGGACCTACCGCGCCGGCTGCCAAGCTCTAGTTCGTTCGCTAATGTCAACCGGGATTGACGCTTCTCTGGCCTCAGTTTCCTAGGCGGTGTTTGCCTTGTGTGGCGTTCACTGCCGTGTGTTGTGGTGTGCGGTGGCCAGGAGTACTTCATCAGTGCCGGGGCTGCATGTGCTTAGTGGCTGACTTCCCTAAGCGCCCTGTGAGTACTGCCCTTGCGTTACAGGGTTATCTTCCCTGGGGCGTTCGGGAACCATTCCCGTAGAGGTTCTTGCTGCTCGGCATTTGCCTCGCCCTTGGGGCCAGCTGGGGCTTGGGGCCCTTGTTTGGCCCTGGGTAGGGATTGGTATTGTGCTGGTTAGGGCGTCAAGGTGTTGCGCAGCCTGCCACCTAAGCGGCGGCCGGTTTCTGTTGCCTCTGGAGACGGTGTACTTTTGCGGGGTTTTTCTTTTGTTTTTCATTTTCTTGCCTGGTGGGGGTCTGCCTAAGGTGGTTATAGTTCCACTGGTAGTGTTTGGCGGCCCTCTGCTAGGCCCCCGTGCTTGTACACGTCTCGGGGGTTTTCAGTGCTATAATCTACCCTCTTGTTATGTTTGGGTTTCTTAACCGGTTAGCAACACCTTGCCCGGGCTTCCCGTAGTTGTTACCCTACGGGCCCTGGAAACCCCTGTCTGGGCTCGGGGGACCATTGAATGTGTCTTCCGGGTTCCAACCCGTCTTGTACGGGATCGTTGGTTGCTGTTCCCTTGTCTCCGGGTGACAGTCGCCATTTTACCTCCGTCATGCTGCCTGTTGGGTCACTGACACCTTGCCCCGGAGTCTTGCGAGTGATTCTCTGCTTGTTCTCCAGTACTCTCCTGATGTTATTACTGTTCAGAGTACAGGCGGCATCCGTGTTGCAAGCTAGGTTAGGTTGCTGCAACATGCTAGGTTGGTTTCCCACTCGAATGCCCCGTGGCCGCCCCGTTTGGTTAGGTGCTGCTCGCCCCTTTCTCTCCATGTTCCCGGCTCCGGACCATCTACGTGTTTCTGGGTCGGGGCGGGGTTCAGTTGCGGCAGAGACTCGGGCGGTTTTCGGGGGATGCCCCGTTCGGGTTGGGGACGGAGGTTTGAGCCTGTGCCTCCTGCCAAGGCTTCTGGGTCTTACCAGCGGCACTTTCTTGTTGCCTTTCCCATGGGCTCTTGCTTTTCTTTCAGGGCGGAGGGCTTGGAGGCCGGCTCTGCCCCGGGGCCTCTGTTGTTGGTTCCCGGGGCTGTGGGGGATGCCTACTAGCAGTTCTGGGGCGGTTTTGCCCCTTCAGGGGTTTTTCTGCTGTTGGGCGTCGTTTTTCGCCCTTCCAGTCTGCTAGCTTCCCACATTTGCTGGCGTGTTTTTGTGTATTAAGCGTCAGTCACAGCCCCTGCTGGCGGCTATTTTCGTCTGCCGGTTTCCCGGCGTGGCCACCAGGGCGGCGTTGCGGTTTGTTTACATGCGTCTGGGTGTGCGAGCGAGCGTCTCTGGTGAGTTTTCAAAAAATTTGCAGGGTTTTTGTTCTCCTGTTGTCGTTTCTTTGTTTTTCTGGTGTTTTCTTGCCGTTGCCTGTTCCTCTGGGAACGTTTGGGTGTTGATTTTGGGTCTGAGCCTCTGGGTTTAGGCTCAGTGCCCCTGGCTGGTATGCTTGCTCCCACACCTTGCCCCTCGGTTTTCGGTCTGTTGGGACCGTTTTCCCAGGGCGTTCTGCTGGGGTCTGTGCTTTGCCTTTTAGTGGTGTTCTCCGCCGGCAAATGTGGTGGTTTGGGCTCCCCCTGGTTCGATTCTGGGTTCCTTTGGGTTCCTTGGTTTCGTTCTGGAGGTTTCTTCCTCTTGGGCCCCCTTTTGTGGGTTCAGGGGACTTTGTTTCCTCGTGTGACCCGGTTCTGCCTTTTGGGGTTCCGGGGTCTTCCTGGCTTGCAGACTGAGCTTTTTGGGTCTTGGCACATGTTGTGGTTGTGCTGGGACTTTGTGGTTTTGCTGTCGAGGTGGGCCTTTTGATGCAGTTTTGTGCCTTCTTTGCCTGGCCGGCGTAGTGCTCTTTGCCACTAGTCGGCGGCTTGTGCTTTTACAATATATGTCCTCACCTAGTTGTGCTTGTGGGGGTTGAGCTCTGGCTCCTTGGTCCTGCCTCTCAACCGTCCGTCAACAGGTACTCACCTAGTTGTACTCACCTAGTTGTGTTTGCGGGGGTTGAGCTCTGGCTCTTTGGTCCCGCCTCTCAACCGTCAATCAACAGGTAATTACCTAAGTGTAATTACCTAAGTGTAGTTACAGGATGAGAGCTACGCTCGTGGTGTCCCGTCTTCCCAGCACTCTTTGTCATATAACGCTTTGAAACTACTGACGGTCTTGGCCTCCACCACCTTCTCACTTAACTTGTTCCAACCGTCTACCACTCTATTTGCGAAGGTGAATTTTCTTATATTTCTTCGGCAACTGTGTTTAGCTAGTTTAAATCTATGGCCTCTTGTTCTTGAAGTTCCAGGTCTCAGGAAGTCTTCCCTGTCGATTTTATCAATTCCTGTTACTATTTTGTACGTAGTGATCATATCACCTCTTTTTCTTCTGTCTTCTAGTTTTGGCATATTTAATGCTTCTAACCTCTCCTCGTAGCTCTTGCCCTTCAGTTCTGGGAGCCACTTAGTAGCATGTCTTTGAACCTTTTCCAGTTTGTTGATGTGCTTCTTAAGATATGGGCACCACACAACAGCTGCATATTCTAGCTTTGGCCTAACAAAAGTCATGAACAATTTCTTTAGTATATCGCCATCCATGTATTTAAATGCAATTCTGAAGTTAGAAAGCATTGCATAGGCTCCTTG